CAATGCTTTCACAATCTTGAGGACTTAAAAATCATCCTCATCACCAAGCAAATCATCTTCTTCATCATCCTTAAATTCATATCTCTCTGTATTGTCCTCCTTTGTGTTATCTGAAATTGTCTCTTCCTTATGACGATCTTATAACCCTTGGTGTTACCCTAGAAGGTGGTGTTGATCTAGCCTGTTGATTACTTTCTCAAACTCCATAAGCTCGAGCAACATCACCCTGAGTTAAAGAATCATTACCAAACACGAGTTCATTATCTTCATTTGATTCTCTATCCATTCTCCTAAGCAACCACTCATTGTTATCATCAATATCCTTCAAAGAGATTGGATTAAAAATTGGGTCACGTCAATCATATGGGCGTCTCCAAGCTCCCTTATATTTGTTAAGTACTAAATCTTTGAGACTAGTCTGTGTGAGTTTGCAACAATTTATGATAAGATAAAAAAAAATGGAATCGAAGAGATTTGAGGACGACACTTACATGCTCAAACACACTCCATTTCCTCTCACAACTAGATGCACTACAAGTAAGGCTAAGAACTTTTTTCTTTAAGTTTTTCAAATTCGGCGTTGCAGAATTGTATGCCCCCCCCACCAATCAGCTGTGAATATCAATTAATTAGCGTTTGTGAATATTTAAGCAATGATAATGAAATAAGCTTGTGGGATAATATAGATCACCTGTTGCCCTTGTAGTTCTTTGTCTAATTGCCATGGGCAACTTAAAGAGGTTTTTACCTTTCATGTAAGTACTCAACTCCTGAAAAATTCGATCTTTGTATCTCAGGGTTTGGGACCAACCTTTGTAAACATTTATATAGGTCATTCATGACTTCTTGAGCTTTCTCAACCTCTGGATTTTAATAAAAAACTTCTAGGTTCAAAAAATACGCAGCTACATGCAAAGGGCGATACAATTGAACTTTCCACCTTCAGTCAATGATTTTAAAGATGTTTTTGTACTTCTCTTCATTTTTGCAATCACTTCTTTAGCACTGTCCATAGTTTCATAAATGTATCCCATGGGAGTCTTCTTCTCACCATCAACCAATCAAAGAACACGAACAAGAGGGCTAGCAAGCTTGTGAATACACAACATTATTACAAAATGAAGGCATTAAACTGATTTGTGCTGTCCTTGTCTTGTTGTTTCTTTGTCCATTTGTTTGTAGTCCATTCCTTTGAAGTGAAAATTTTCCTTAGCTACTTTTTTGTTGGTTGATCCTTGATAAAGTAAGAAAAGCTATACCAAATTTGGTTTTTAAGGGCTTAATCAACTCCTTTAACTAGGTAAATCGCCTCATCATATTTAATAGAGGTGGACGGTTATAATTTTAACCGTGTACTGCTATTCCTCAACTGTCCTCCAAGTCCACGCAATTGCTATATATATATATTATAGTTATATCTAATACGGTAACACATTTCCTGCACTATTGTTCGTGACAACTTGGACCACATTAGCTTCACCAATATGCTCCAGAAAATTATTAAGCAATTAATACATTTTTTCCCATCCTTTGAGTATGCGGAATCGTCAACGGATTCAAAGAACATGGTCCTTTTTGGAAAATTCACTAAGAAATTAATCAAGGTTCCCCCTCTCTTGTCAGGCCACCCATCAGCCATTATGGAACATCCATATTTTGGCCAATCTTCTTGGTGATCTTTCATCAATGACTTGGTATGCTCTACTTCTTTTTTGAGCAGTGGGACCCGAATCTTATGGTAAAATGGTGGTTTCAAACTAGGATCATACTGTCCAATAACTTCAAACATTGTTACAAAACTTTTGTAGTTCAGAACATTACATGGTCCAGTGTTATACATCCACCATGCAAATGATGGGCTGGCTTGATTTCTCATTTCCTTTTTGTAAGGATCGTTGGTATCGATCTTCGATTGTCTCCCCTTGGCCTTTCGATTTTGTACAACATTTGGATCAGGGGTGAAAAATACATTCACAGGCCCTTTTTGCCTTGGCCTTTTTGGTTTGTGTAGAACCTTGACTATAATTAGTGATGGATCTTTTACCATGCCCAATGACCTGTACAATATCATCACCATCATCTTCGAAGTCATTATGCATCTCATCAAAGTTAGGAACCATGTCCATTTGCTTTTTCTCATCTTTTTTTTAGCCATGTATTTTCTAATGTCCTCCTTAAAATAAAAACAGAAACAAAGAGTTCCAGCTAAAAAACAAAACGCCGAGTCCCAGTTGGACTGATGATCTTTAAATTCTAGCGAAAACAACCAAACTCCATCACAGAAGAAGAAAAAGAGGAGAAGAAGAAACACACTAACCTGGTGAGAAGACAGAAAGTACAACAACAAATCTGGAAGCAAATTTCAGTCACTTAGTAGGGATGAATTGACTTCTGGTCTCTAGAGCCTTAATTCTCATAAAATTTCAGTCACTTAGGGTTTAGCCATTAGACGGTATATAGGGACTAGTTGGTGTATATGTGTGTTGCACGTGAACCAATATAAACTATAATTTTGTTTTTAGTTCTAAAGAAAACAATGTGTGTCATAGTGTTAACCAATGATCAAAATATTGTTTCAAAACGGTCGACACATTCGAAATATTTCCGTTTCCAAGGAGACCGAAACGAATCAGTGATAGAATCGAAATTCTAATATTTCGAAATGTTCCATAATGTTTGAAAATGTTTTGTTTTATTTCAATACATTTGCACAATTATTTTGGAATGTTTTAAGGTATTTCAAGATATTTTTGTATATTTCGATCAATATTTTGAAAAAATAATTTTTAAATTTTTTATTTTGTTTATTCTTGTTTTCAAAACGGGGCGAAACGTTTTCGAAACACGTTGAAACGTTTCCGTTTCTTAAGTGACCGAAATAATGCATCGAAATGAATTTTGATCCTTGGTGTTAACCCAATATTTTGGCTAATGTTACAAAGGGGAAAGCACATTAGCTGTCCATATTGAGCAGCTAGTTAAAGCAGAAGAACAGCAACGACGAATTAACACACATAAAAATTGGTTCACTATAATCGATGTTGTAATCCTTGGATAATAGAAAATGCACAAGAGCCAAAATACTCTTGGTGTTCGTTCTTCACGTGAGCACACATAAAAATTTTAATATGCACAATAATCACCGAAAATGATAAATTCTAGTATACTGAAGAATTTCAACCACAAAATAGGGATTGTACCAAATGATGGGCTGCAAAACAAAGTGGTATAACTATCTTTTGTTTTTGACTTACCTCACTGCCATGATGGTTTGGATCAAGAAGTTGAGTAGAATAACATGTTATGATCCAAGATTTGACAAGGCTTGCTGCAAACAAACCTGTTCACCTTATGGTGTTAAACTCTGGGCAAATGTACTTATCTATCGTAGTTAATTTAAGAACATGACAGGGTATGAAGGGATCATGCAATTAACTTAAGAAGATATAAGGATATTACATTAACTTTATAAGTTATACTGAAGAAAAAAATAGAAAATCAAAAGTTCAAATTAATAAGTAACTACTTTAAGAATATGAAAAGATATGAGAGGATTTATAGTTAATTGAAGAAGATAAAAGGAAGATTGATCACAGGAATTAGTTGTTTTTATTGAGGTTATTATGGTCAATCAATTTTTTTCATTTTTGTTGACATTTTATAGCAGTAGTATAGATAAGGAGCAATTGATTGTTATGAGCACATCAAAATTTTAATTCAATTGATCAATCTAACAGTCCGCAATAGGCAAAGAAAGCAACTTAAATAACTTCACTAAAGCACTCGCCAGTGTCGCCTTGTGCTTAAGCGATGAGTGATAGCCAGGGGCGATTTATGTTCACCTCGTTGAAGCTCGCTTCATCTGGACTTTGCAAGGCGACTGGGCTTACCTCTCACCTAGGCACGACTTTCATAATGCTAGCACATGGCTTCGCAAGGCATGGCTTGGGCTTGGCTCAACATGCGTGATTGATTTGTGGGCAAGGCTTGGGTGTAGATTTGCAAGCACTTGGCTGGGACAGGTCTACTCAATGCATGGAACCAGGTGGTTGAAGGCGGTTGTTGTCTGTGGCCTAAGCATAGGAAGTAGTTGAGGGCAGTTACGGGACATGACCTGATCATGAGTGAGCAGTTATGGGTGGTTACTGAGTCAGGTGTTGAATTGGAAGAACTGCCCACCATCTGTCTAGCAGATGCAGCCTGACTTGATAGTTGTAGCTTAAAAACTGCCATGTCGATACAATTGATTCGTTAGTATGCCAGTAAATTCTAGGTACTTGGGGGTGTCAACTGTCATATTACATGTATAGATAGGGAATGCCAAGGTAATTTGTAGGCAGACTTGGGTGGATTTGTGAGTTTCTTGTATTGTTTGAGCAATAATATAAGGTTTGAGTGTTTTCCCTGTACATCGTGTGTTGCTTGCGCGTGTGTGATCCTTTATGAGTTTTGAGTGACTGGTTGGTGAGGTAGCGCCTTCACGGGTAACCTCATTGTAAAAAAAGTTGCAATTGAGAGTTACCCTGTGACAACTGTCCTCTATCAATTGTTATATTATTGATATATTCACAAACTTTTCACTATATTTTTTCATTTCCGCAGAATCCACACATGTGAGCATCTCAATCAATAATATTTACACATTCCACTCTTTGAACTTATATAGAGTGCTCTTGTAGTCAAACCTATCTTCTCTTTCCCGCGCTCGTTTCCTATCTTGCTTCCTCCTCTCCATTAATATTCAATAAACTTAAGAGAGTTAATGTGATCTCAGTTGACATGCAAACACAACTCTATGCCTGCATTTAATGCATAGGCAGTTGTCAGAACAATTCGTACATGTTTCAAAATTTCTTCAAGCACTTGGGAAACTTCAGCCAAAATTGAGTTTACCCACTCTTCCTGCTTCTTTGTAATCACAATGCTATATCAATGTGAGGGGATGTAATACTTGTTATGTATCTTTGTAGTTGACTGGGGGGAAAATTGGTGATCGGCTAATGGCTGAAGCAGAGACAAACCTTGCTATAAATGTGATCCCCACTTTGTCAGATTCATATGAAGTTCAAGGGAGGGGAGAGCTTCAACTGGGTGAGTTTTTTAAATTTGAGATTATCTGTCCAGATTTTAAACTTTCTCAAACAAAGAGATGGCTCAAGTGATAACATGTTACTTTCTGGAAAGAAAAAAGATATCATGTGATCCTTTCATTTGTTCTTCTTTCAGCATAAAAACTCAATTATATGTCATGTAATTTGTTGATTTGTTTGAATCAGGTATCTTAATCGAGAACATGAGGCGTGAAGGATTTGAGCTATCTGTCTCACCACCTAGAGTCATGTGAGTTTGTAGCTTCGTTAACGAGTTAAACGTCGTTTCTTTCCATTCTTTTTTATCAGTGCAAAGTCATATGTGTGTGTCTTTATATATTGGATAATATATATTTATATATACGCACATTAGATTCTTACATACACCCATGATAATGGCAATAGTAATTATGTCGAAAATAGGATTATAGTGTATCATTGATGGTAAAAGTTTAGTCCTAGAAGTCCAACTCAAAACTTGAATTATATTTAACATCGAGTTGAATATGAATTTGTCATCACAAGGCATCTGATTTTACTTGGTACCTGTATAGATCATCTTATTTATAGGATGACTACTGAACCGGATATAATTGATAGCTCTGGAAATGGTTTTGCACTAAGGCTCTTCTGCCATTTTAGAATGCCATCTGCAGCCAAAATAATCCAAATAATAGGAACAAATGGCTTTACCTCTCTATGCAGCAAAGAACACAAGCTAACCAATTACCTATTTCATATACTTCACTGAAAAATCAAGTTTTGATATTTTTATGTTGACCTTGAATCTATATTCCATGATAAACGTTATGCTTGATGTTGTGGTTTCAACTCATAGGCTAAACCCAAAGTCAACAAGATCCCTAGCTCATGAGTGGAAAAGCCTGGGCTGAAGTTTTTAGGTGCCCTTGAGTTTTAGGATTCTGAATGAATTGAGGCTTCAACCCATCCGTGCCTGATGCAAGTTCTAGTGCTATATAAGTTTTATATGATTAAATCCACTTAAATGAACCAACTATTCAGTGTTTGCTGCATGATAGTTTTTTTTAATTGTGTTGTCTGCCACATTATCTTTTGAACAATATCCTTCTTTTTTGTCTTAGTTAGCATTAATTTTAGTTTGCTTTTTTTTTTTTAACTCAGTATTACCATCAATAGGTATTACTGGCTGAGTTACATGACTTCTTTGAACATGGTTAAACTATCTGAGTTAATTCTCACGTAATTTATTTTTCTAAATGAGCTACTTCCACCATTTTACGAATAGATTCATTCTTATATCCGTTCTCGTCTTATAACTCATCCTTTTTAACACTACACTTCAACATGCTTAGTTTTGGACATAGTTATCAAATCGTGTATCGGAAGGCGTATCGTTTTTTAAAAATAGTGTATCGTATCGTGTATCGTAAGATACGATGCAATTTTAAATAAATAATAAAAAAATATATATACCTTTGAAAAAAAGTCATACACTCATAAAAAATATAGCATTTCATTAATACTCCACCAACTATTCAAGTTATCAACATAATCCACTACTATTATAATGCAAAGTTCACAACCATAGTTCACTAATTCAAACTTTAAACACCAAAGAGACTTCTAATCCAAATTTCTAACATCCATTTTGAACTCAATCCATAAAATTAATCAAAATTCAAAAATTTTTATACAAAAAAAAAAAATTAGTCAGAAAAAAAAAAAAAAAAGGTTTTACGCGTATCGGTCGTATCGTAAAAACGTATCGTGTATTGGACGATACGGTGCAAAAACGATACATAACTACGATCCGTATCGTACGATACTAACAACTATGATTTTGGACTTCTTGTTTCTTAGTAGTCCTACACTTTGTACCACGAAGCATACACAACTTATTGTTTTGTAGTACTTTCTTTTCAAATTAAGAGCTGTACATGACCATAACACACTTCGATCTCACACCCCAAATATCAAGATTTTTCACTCTTTGGTGTCTACCCATCTTTGATCTTCACTACATCTTCATTTACACTAATACTTTGACAAAAGTATCATGCACCATGGAATTTCATCCTAAATGTATCTAGATTTTGGTTTTTTCTCAATCAAAAGTCATGCAATCATTTTAGGTTTACAGCACATGCACTATAACTATGCTTATATATGTACTTGGTATATCAGGAGTTTCTACTCGAATATTAGAGGATTATGAAGTTGAAAGTTTATGTCATAAATTGGCAAACAACCACTACAGACTTAGCCTTGGTTGGTACCTGATGGCCTACAAAGGCTTACTGCTATCCCCACGCTATGTCATGTTTTCGAATCTTCTCGAGACCGATGCATGTATACATATATATTATGTGTGTGTGTGTGTGTTAGTTTATAGGAAAACAAGATACTCCATCGGTTTTAAAATTTGGCGTCCTTTTTGGGAATCCAAAATTTTAAAGAATGTGTTTAAAGTGTTGGGAAATCTTTAATTTCCTATGTTACCTTCCCAATGAATTTGCAATTTTACTTTTTGAAAGTTATCACAAATTTCAAATAAGAGTGCCAACTTACGCAAAATAAAGTATATTAGTAATGCTGCATGAAAAGGTACATTGTGTTTTGAAATTGGACTCTTGATTGGGACATACTCTTGTTCCCTATGGTATATTGAATTTGACTATCGTTTATCTAAAGAAAAAATTTATGTTCATTGTTGGAGTTGTCAATGGATCGTGTCGTATCGTGTTTTTAATTCGTGTTGTGTCTTGTGTCTGTGTAAAAATTTGCTCAATCTATACCCGAGACATTGTAAATATGTATAGCTGGTTTCATTTCATATTGGATTTGTGTCAAACCATAGAGTCTAGAGAATTCATCCGTCTACCACTTAAACTTATTGAGGCTTAATCCAAACCGTCTAATTCCGTGTCAATTTCTTGTCGAATTTGCGGGTCGTGTGTAGAATTAACTAGTTTATTCCATAGTTATCAAAACTGACTCATAAATCAACCCGACAAAGACACCAGGTTAATGGGTCACTGGTTCAACTGTTGGGTCAACCAGTTGGATGGGTGATACAATAAAAAAAAAAAAACCATAATAATTAAGCTAAAAAAAATGATATTAGGAACAATAATATGCTTAGTTCTAACAAACCCTAGCCTCATATTAATGTTGTCTTCACCCTTTGGAGTTACAATGTGAAACTGAAGTGAGATTGCAATGAAACGAAGGTGGAGCACACCTGGCAAAGTGGCTTTTTGATCTGAATATTAGAAGCAATGTGTTTCCCAGCAAGACAAAAGGTCTTGATTAGCTTTTCATGGGCTACTGCATAACCCATGTATCAAATACAAGCAGATGCAAGATTAACTAATTTTGAAGCAGAAACAACTACTTCAGTGTTAGAGAAAACACCAAGCTGAGAGGGTATGAGGTCTGGTTGCACAATAGCAAGCATAGAGATGGAGAGATAGAAGAGAACTGGAGAAGAGAGATTGAGTGAGTAGTGGGGTGGCTGTGGTTGAGAGCGTCCTTAAGAGGAGAGGGAGACTGATCGAATTTTTAGGGCAAAATTGCCCAAAATGCAGTTTTTATAGGACTAAACTTGACCTGCCCAGTTTTAAATGGTTCATTGGCGGTTTGATTACAAAGACTATCCAAGAGTAGAATGTGCTCGGTTCAGACTCCGGGTCACTGGTTTTCGGTGTTGACCCTCTGAGCCGGGGCTGAGTTTAATAAAACTGGTTTATTCAGCACATGATTTTCCACCCTTCATATGAATCCTCCATCTCTTGCAAAACCTTTATGAAATGTTGACATAGATAAGATTTCATTGTTAGACAAGGTAATGTCAAGACACTTTGTCAGTAACATTCTTGTGGCATGCTTTTTTATGTGCCCTTTCTACACCTTAACAAATATCTGTCCATAACAAATTAAAAACCGTAATACAAACACCACAATGTTCTTGCATTTTTTCTTATAAACTAGTTTTGACCTGAGAAGCACAAATACGGACACGGGTGCCGTATCCGATACGATACAAACAAGGAGGTACGACAAAACCCTAAATTATAGGACACAGGTATAGCGAGGATACGACTAATTAATATATATATAAAACAACAACATTAATAATAACAAATAAGGCATAGCAAACATTGATTTTTTTATTATAATTGAAATAAATCAAAGATTCAAAAATACACATCCACCATTTCCTCTAATATAATTACATCAATTAGCATTTATAGTCCACAAGTTTGGTAACAAAAGAACACAAAAACAAAAGGAATCTTACATCCCACCTCAATTCACTTCCAAGGGCTCATCATCTCATTGTCATTTCCTTCATTAGTAAATAGTATTGCCTCCATATCTGGTTCATCAAGGGAAAAATCCGCAATCTCAAGCATCCCACTTCCCTCTTCCATGGAATCAAATGCATTTCTTGCAACATCCCACATCTTAGTGTTGCCTTCATTGTGTTGAG